TCTAGCCATAGCAGACAGTCAATACACAAAGAAACTAAAAAGATGTTTAAAGGTTAATAGGGTACCAGACTGCTTTTATACAGGCGGCTATTGTAACTCAACAGTAATCAAGTAGTCGTAATACTAGCATTTAACAATTTAGCACGCCCATTAGCCCTTCAATCTTGACAAGCTAATCAGGTAAAACTCTAGACTTCTATAATGGCACAGCTTGGCAGCCTTGTTCAACACCAAGTGCTCTGGCCTTAGTTCACTGTGAAGCAGCCATATGGAAAGAGTCCAAGACAACACAAAATCTCCTTCAGGCCCTTACTGACCTGAATTTCATTGTGCAAACATCAAAGGTGAGGGTTCAGTGACACAGACATCCAAAACAACCACAGAAGATACAATATCATGAAAAGAGGAGCTATCTGTTGACCGTGTTAGTTTCATTAGGCTGGCTTCCCTAATCTACTACAAAAACATGCTAGCTTGACATTAATTGGATCACCAAATTGACCTTTTGACAACACCAGCATGACCAAAGCAAACCCCATTCCTGTCTATTGAAAAACTCGATATAAAGTGACTGACATGGTAGTTCTTATAACTCGTGTTGTTGCTCCTTGGCATTATTGCCTGGAGGAACGTGCAGTGGAATGTGTTGATGTTGTGGTTGAGTGTTGAGATCTCAACCAGGCTGACGTGCAATATTTCACAGCACACTGCAAATATCACGCTTCTGTCCTGTTTAAGACTTGCAGAGCTGTGGAAGAATCATGGGCTTGTGTCCTCAAGTTTTTATGGAACTGGTTTCACATGAAAAACTGACAAATAAAGCATGAATAACACCACTGACTCTATGTTTCAAACATCAAAATGTGTATGTTTACGCTAGGGTTGTCAATAGGGCTGCACGATTTTGGAAAAAAAATGGGTATTGCCATATTTTATTTTAATACAATATATTGCGATATTGAATATATCATTTCACCATTCACAGGTATATTTGGAAAGAATTCATAATTTTTGATACATTGGGATGATTTTGTAGGGACGTGCATCTACATAAAATATAATAAACCAATCACAAACATTGAGAAATACAATAGAGAGATAATGTTTTGGAAGTCTAGCAATATTCAGATACTTTATCTTATATATATATATATATATATATATATATATATATATATATATATACACACACAATTAATTTTTCTTAAAGTTAAAAATGTATTTTTTATGCCTGGATATTTTAAACTGACTTAATTGATAATAACAAACAAAAATGATAAATGTTTTGGTAACGTAATGGGTAAATGTTGCAATGATCATAAGTGTTTTTAAACGTGGCTCCGGGCCAATTATAATACTGCTTCGACATTGCAGATCCTGCGATGATATATTGTGCAGTCCTAGTTGTCAACATTAATCCGAATTAATGCAATTAATCTGACAATTTTAATGCATTAATAATATTACTTTAGACGCAAATTATTCATTTAAATAAAGTTTGACCCCAACAAATTGTTATCATCGCAACTATTGACCTAATTCTGCGATGCAGAAGTGCACTTGTTTTTGCCAATTTTTTAGTTTGTCTGCAAATGTGAACTTCTATTTTAGTAGACTATGGAAGAAATGACAAGAAATAACCAGTAACAAACTACAAATACTCAAATTACTGTAATTGTGTAGTTTTTCTCAGAAAATTATGTAAAAATATATTGCAATATATCAAGTAGTTTTATAAAAATTGTGTTTTTACTTTCCCTTGAGTACATTTTTATTACCGTATTGGTAGGTTTACTCCACTACTTTTCTTCAACCTGCAGTCACTACTTTATTTCCTTCTTGTCTATGGGAATTAGAAAACTCTGTTCTGTGATTACTGCCCAATCAAATCGCACATAGAAGATGATGAACTACCTAAATACAGTGTATTATCATTGCAGCAAACTGTTTGGAAGCATTAAAAGTGTCCAAAAAGTAAATCTTCACACACATTGACCCAGAGACTGTTTAGATGCATGTCACTGATGAGGAGACGACAGATGATTACTGTATGATGACTGAAATGGCCTTGAACACCCAGCAGGCACAAGAAGTCAGATTGACGTTGTACCCCAACGTCATGAGGATGTTACATTTTGTTTGGAAATGAAAATCAGGTTGACATCAGAACTCACCATCAGGCCAACGTCAATGTCCAACCTAAAATCAACCAAACATCAACATCTAATGATGTTACAGCTTGACGTGTGAATGTTACCACTATGACATCTATCAGACATTGGATTTTGGTTACCATAACTGACAAATAAATGTCAGTATTTAACGTCAATAAGAGGTTGGTTTATGATGTTGGCTTGACATTGGATTTAAGTCATTTTCTAACACAACCTAAAATTTACCAAATATCAACATCAATTGACATTATTATTGGACATCAGAATAACATTGTCCTCAGACGCTTGCTAGATATTGAACTTTGGTCACCTGACAACACAACCTAACCTAATATCAACCGTCTTATGATGTTATGTGCCTGCTGCGCAATAACTTAATGCACTACAGAATTTTACGTTTACACACATCCCCAAATTACATGCAAACACATCAGCTTTTTATAGAGTAATACTCACTACTCTTGAGTGCTTTTGAAATGTCTACTTTTTACTCTTACTTTGAGTAATATTTACAAAAGATACTTTTACTCGCACTCCGTTTTTAGGCAAGAAATCATACTTTTTTACTTAAGTATGATTTTTTCAGTTCTCTTTCCACCACTGGAAATAACAAATGGCAGAAAATGGTCAAACTACTTGCTCTATGTTCATGACTACACATTAAAAGTTCTAGTGATATTAAAAAATATCAGTTTGCAACATCAAGCAGGATAACAAACTGCTTTAAAATCTAAAAAATGGAAGCGAATGAGACCTAAAGTCTCAAGCCAAAAATATTCCAATGGCTGTGCTTGCTCGTACGTGAAGAATAAGGTTGATGTCACAAGCTGAACGGCAAGTTTCATTAAAATAAGCTTTTAGATAGAGGTTTGGATTAAAATAATGTTGCGTGCACTTACTGCAGTGATGAACTCTTCTTAAACCAAAGCACAACAAGCTTGAAGTACCATTCTCTAGCCAAACATATTTATGCAGATGTTAGCAAAGATGTTAGTGCTGAGACAGCATTAACCAGCCATGCTTGTCAAAGGACTCGATGTGTAGCAGCGCAAGCTTGTCATCAAATAAACAACTGCAAAGCTAAGTTGTGTTCACCATAAAGGTGAATTATTGTTACAAAATATACATGAACTGTGTAACACTGAGAAAGCTAATAAATAAATAAATAAAAATAACTTTCTTTGCACATACTGGAGACCACTGGAGATCAGCAAGTAATCGATCGAGTTAACCCATGACGACTGACATCTGCATCTGACTTAATCACTTTAATAATATTAAATGAAAAAATAAAGCTAGAGAATATGTTTCCCTAGACTGTCTAGCATTTCTTTCTTTGAAAATCACACATTAACAGCTAAATGCTATAGCTTCCATTTGTGATTAAACTAGATTAATCAAAGATACTTATTGTGATTAACACTATATTTTTTCATCACTTGACTGCTCGTTTACGCATTTCTTTCTTTCTTTCACATCACATGTTAAAATCAAATGTGATCACATGAAAAATCATACATTTAACATGGGTTTCACAGGTGTTACACACATGTGGCATGTTATTTTAACAAAGGACAGAGCACTTTTTGTGCATGCTCGCTGCGCAAGATATGGGAACCCCGCAATAGTATCTGGATGCAGTTGATGATGCAAGCAGAGATTGCACATCTCAGAGATGCAATGTCAGGCACAATGCACTCAATGGAGATGGTGACGTCCCTGTGACGGGTAGAGTTAGGGGTACGCGCATTAAAAATGCATGCAGCTCAGATTGCAACTAGACCAGGTCTGCATTCAGACCCCTCTCGAACTGCCTGTATAGCTTTCTTCTTTGAGCAAAAATTACATTCACCACACCTAATAAGTAATTTGGCAGTGGAAACACAAGCCTCACAAAGACAGGTATTGTACCGAACCATACTGCTCCAAGGTAATCAGGCATTAGGAAAGGTTGACAAAAAAGTGGTATGGTCTGTAAATTACAATTTAGTATTTTGGTACATTTGACAGTAGAAATATTTGCATTTCATAATGTAAGCATTCGTTTTTTGAGGATTGCAGGCAGCCTGACAAATAAACACTTGCTTAGCTAACACCATGCCCTAACTACACACGATGCAACAAGATTCCAGTGACAAGCTATTTGACTGTCCACATCAAACGCGACAGCACACAACAGAAACGATTAAATACTAGAGATTCAATCAAATAACAACCAACTAACTGCACTCCCAACTAAATTGTAAGGGTTATAATCTGATTAATACATATTTAACATTATTAAAAGTACACAGGCTAAGTGATTGATGTTGTTTGCATAGAGTCACAGTTCTTATTTTTCTCCAAATTGTTTGCTAGTTATTTTATTTTCAATATCTGAGGTAAGTATTGCTATAAATTCCACATATAATGTTATTTAAATTCACATTGGTAGCATTTAACTTTGAATAAAGCACAAAATCTGTTCCTGAGCTGATCAGTGTTATGGTGGTTTATGCTGTTGATTTGCCGCATTTGCATTTTCTAAAATTGAAATTTCAGATGTTCAGGACAAAAACTAGATTAAACATTTAAAAGATAGCTTATTGTGTGTAACTGCGCCGCATTGCATGTAGTAAGGACACAGCGTAAAAGTATGGGACAATTCGAAAGGCAGGAGAAGAAACCTGTTTTACAACAATTATCATTTTGCAATTCCATTTGTTTTCTATATTTGGTTGCAGAAACTACACACTTGAGTTTCACCTGAACTTTAAAGCATAAACACTGATGATTCATTAATGAAGATAACAGACAACCAAGCCAATTAAAAGGGAGGGGCGTTACCTGAGGCGTTGCCGTTAATGTGCATGGTTTGGGCCATGACTGCAGACACTCGCTCCAAATTCCACAAAGAGCCTGAATGTGCTCATGCAAATCTCATGCATCAAATCAGCTTGCCATGCAACCTGCAAACTGGACAAAACAAGCAAAACACAAATATTAGGTACAATAGCACATGCATGATTGACAAAAAAAAACACTTATACACACAAATACAAAGTGAATGTGAAGTACGTGAAACAAATCATGTTCTTCTATCTGATCTGAGGTGAGGCCTAAGCTTACTGACGCACCTCTGTGTTGCAATTTTGCACTTGTGTGCCTGACCTTGTGGGTAGTTTAGCCAAATCATGATCTTTCATTCAGGTCATTTAATATTTAACAACAAATAGAACCTTGACCTTCACATGGTCAACATACAGAAACAACCTTTTGACAAATTCAAGAGGAAACGTTAAAGTTCACCCTTTTTTGTCATCCCGGGGTATATGCAGGTACCAGAGACTGAAAGCCCCTTTTTAAGACTCCTGTCATTCATTTTAAAACCTCATTGCCGACATTTTACCTTACAGTATATTTATTAAATACTGACTGCAATAAATCAACAGCTACTGATTGTAAATAAGACATTATTTATTAACTGAATAAAAATGCTAATTCAGCAGGTGGTGCCTACATCTACAGAAATAAAAAAATGTTCTCTGGTTACTGCAGTAAACAAAGCAGTGTGATGTCAAATCTGGCAGGGTTTTATTAATTTCATAAACTACACAGCATCTCAATACTCAAAGATTAAATTCAGGCAATCTTCAGAATGCTGATAGAAAATGTATTAGTTTGTAAAAATAGCTTTTAAGACTTTTTTTAAGACTATATTTTATACTTAATGATTTTTTATTTTCTCTAAATGGACTTATCAACTTTTTATACTTTTTAAAACCCCACAGACACCCGGCATTCTCACAATCCATATGACTTAAATCCATATGACTTAAATTTCTCACACAAACTGTATAGCTTCAAACTACAGTATATAGTATAATAAACAGTGTTACTGACTTGTTTAATGATGTTTCTTGTTATTATACACCCTAATTTAAAAAAGTTGGCACAATATGGAAAACACAGATAAAAAAGAAAAAAAAAAGAAAAAACAATAATGCTTAAAAGTACATAGAAGTTTTGGAGCACAAAATGCTGCCTTCTTTTCTAGGGACGCCCATGCATATTTCAACAAGACAATGAAAAACCACATTCTGCACACATTACAAATTCCTGGCTGAGAAGGAAGAGGATACAAGTACTTGACTGGCCTGCCTGCAGTCCCGACCTGTCTCCAATAGAGAATGCGGCACACATTTTGAAGCACAAAATGCGACAGCGAAGATCCCATACTGTTGCCCACCTTAAGACTTGTTTGCAGGAAAAATGGGACACTTGAAACACTATCACCAGGTGTTTTTAGCACCTAAATGTCTTTTAAATGTTGTGAAAAGGAATGACAACATTACAAAGTGGTAAATGTTTTAGTTTAAACTTTTTTGAAATGTGTTGAATTTTAACCAAAATTGGAATACGTGTTTGTTTAAAAATAAATAAATCAATTACTAAATCATGAGGAACACATTAAATGTTTTGCTATTGTATTGTCTGCAATGAAATACAAGTCAAAGTAAATTTAGAAATCACTACTTTCTTTTTTTTATTTGCGTTTTCCAAACTGTCCCAACCTTTTCTGATTTGGGGTAGTGCATCTTCAACAATCATAATTCTGAAAATTCTATAATTTCAGAGTGAGCTATTTTAACGTTTAACAACATTATTATACATATACGGAAGCCTGGAGAAAGCTATCCTTATTCATGAGCGCAGTCCTTCACCTTATAAGAGCTCTGACATGAAACTACACTTCATTCTAAATTAGTGCTGGAACTGGATCTAAAGAGGGACCAACTTTAAAAGCAATAAGGCCAAAAAAAGATCAGTAATGTGAAGCAACGAGCCCACTCTCTCTAAACATGTCAATGTATGCTTTGATTCCAAAACAAAGGCTTATTTTTGTGCAAAGAAGCTACGCGCACATTAGAACCTAGATAAAATCCAAAACTACACACAATATTGCCGGATTTATTATTTATATACCGTATGAAGCAGATTAGGCAGAGCAGTGACGGAGCAGCAGACATGCATGTGTGCAGCAGATACGGTGGTGGGTCTCATAAAGCTCTGGTGGAAGAAGAACGACAGGAAGAACCACCAGTGGGAGGTCTGCTATGTTCTCTGAAGAACACAGACTTGGGAAACTAGTAAAAACAATGATTGGACCAGTCTTGAGTATTACGAAACACAGGACGTGTTGTGGAATTTCCTCCGACTCGCATTAAAAACACAAACACACACATTACAACAAAAACATGCCTCAGCTTTTGCATGACTAAAGTTCACCGCCAAAGTGAGGTTTTCACTTAGAAATGTTGTGCAATGCCTTTTTAACTGATTCCAGGGTAAAAAGTCACAGAGGTTTTGTCAATTCTTTTGTTTTTGTTGTTGTTGTTGTTTGAAAAGCAAAATCACAGAACTTTTCTTTTTTACAGAAGAGAGTTCAGCAATAAATCACTAAGCAATATGACATACTTAACATTGCGCAAACAGTTTGGTTTGAAAACCGATAACTATTTAGTCAGAAAAAAAGATGCACAAAATGCACCACGATAATTGGGCCAAAATATGCACATGTGGGTAAAAGTCAACTCTGAGCTTGTCAAAACATGCTAAAATGCTGCCATTAAAAAAATAATAAAAATGTATGGCTCACATAAGAACATATTTTAAACAGAATACTAGGCTCTTTAAAGTTATCATACAGATCTTTTTGCATTACAAACCTTGCATCACTTAATCTCATTGCACATGTATATATTGTACATTGTATATGTGTAATGGCAATAAAAGCTATTCTATTCTATTCTATTCTATTCTATTCTAACCTACTTGTTGACAAAAAAAACCCTACTTGGATCAGTTCAGTCTCCTAAATAAATCCAAAAATAAACTAATAAAAAAGCAAACAAACAGAAATAAAAAAGCATATATACACCACCGGTCAAAAGTTTGGGGTCAGTTTTTTTCATGTTTTTTTTTTTTAAGAAAATTAATATGCTCATCAAGGCGGAATTAATTAAATGTTAAAAAATATATATTTTTAAATGTTTTTAAAACTTTTATTAAATGTTAAATATTTAATAAAATTTTAAATAATTGCTTTCTTATTGTATGTGGGTTTAAAATGAAATTATTACTTCAGTCATTGTTGCTTTTATTACCATTACTGTTAACAATAATATTAATAATGGATGGATAATAATAATTGATATAAGTATGGATGGACGATATATAGGCCTCGTTTTCGATCTCGTTATCGGCCGATAAATGCTATTTTTAAGGTTATCGGTTAAAATTAGGCCGATATTTTTAAGCCGATAGATTACATAATTGTACAGAACTGCCTGCCTCGCACATGCCGTGGGTCGAACTTGTTCAGACTTGTCCAGTGCACTATAACAGATCTTTCCTCACTACACACTGTGTAGTATTGCTGTGCAATAATAACTCAGTATGTAACCGCATTCCTTAGAGTGTCATTATGTATTTTGTTTGAAATCGCCTCAGAAAAAAATATAACATGTGTGAACATAACAGCAGCACTACACACATGCTAAACAACTTATTGGATTGTTTGTAATTAAATATAATTATTTGTTATCATCAACGTTTCGTTTGCCAAGTGTTGTTGATGTAAGATTGTATTCAGTTTGATTGGCATATTTTTAATGATTATAACAAATGCACATGATGCTATCACTGCACGCATGCACAAATACTCACACGCACACGCATGCACGCACAAAAACAGTTTAGTTTGAGTAGGCAATTCAGTTCAAAATTTTATGAAGACTTTTATGTTGTTTACTGTATAAAAATATAATATTTTGATATATTTATCAGCTATAGTATATTGGCAGTCAGACCTTCAGATCTTAAGAGTTATCGGTTATCAAAATCAGCCAAAAAATCCATATCGATGCATCCTTATATCAGAGATTTCTGAAAGATCATGTGACTGAAGACTGGAGTAATGAAGCTGAAAAATTCATCTTTAAAATCACTGGAATAAATGATTAAAATAAGTTATCTACTTTTAATTATTTTATAGAGCAAACATATTTCACTAATTTACAATTGGTACTGCATTTTTGATTAAATAAATGCAGCCTTGGTGAGCAGGAGAAGCTTATTTCAAAACATTTAAAAATCCTACTCACCCCAAACTCTTGACCGGTAGTGTACATTTACACATTACTGATTATACTGCAAAAGCTGGATGCATGCATTTTAGGAATTAATCTAAATTAAAAAAAAGTTACCCACCTTGCTCCGTCATTCTTAAGCATGTAGTCAAAGTGAATGGTATTACTACGGCCTCGCAGTCACCTACAGCATAAGCCCAAACATCTACACACTGTGGAGAGTATATATAACAGCTAAGTTTAGCCAAGTTTCTCAGATGTCAGAGGTCCTATAAGAGGAAAAGATGCATCCATCCATGTTGAAAAGATCTGAGACCAGACCATAAACAAGAGAGCCTCATGTGAAGTAGACGTTATCCTATCAAACATTAAGTCCTCTACTGGCACAATGGCATCAGGAAGGTTGCTTGTTAATAACAAACTGGGATTGGCCGGTACAGACTGACGTGTAACTGCAGGTAGATCATTCTTATTAAAAGCGCAAAAGAAATGCAAAGGTGTGTTTCATCACTATTACTCATTTAATGTCACTCCCTGTTCTCAACACCCTGTTGGCAAAGAATTTACTTGAATATTACAATGACTATCTTACAAATTTAATATAAGACATGCTCACATATCACTTCTGAACATGATGTATATGGCATTACATATAAATGTCATTGAAATTATAAGCTATTAATGCTTTCGACAAGGACAGACTTGTGTTCAACAAAAACATGTTCTAGGTAGGATTCTGTCAGTGAGATCTAGACATTAACCAGATGAAAGCAGAAAATAAAAATCCTTCACTCAACAAAAGCTAACACGTCACTTATAAAATTATACATAAAAACATCTGTAATCAAATGCAGTGCTTTTCAGGCAGGTAGATATTGGCTATAAACACTGTAAAGTTTCAGAAGTAAAAAAACACATTTGAATAAAGAAGTAAATCCCCTAAATTATTGTTTCTTGAGTGTTATAGAACTCGTTCAGAATTTACATGCTCTTGAAGTGTTGCCATGTCTACTTTTTGTAAGCATGCTTATTTAAAGGCCTCTGGCTTGTTGTTTGGCCTCATAACTGATGGAGTTAATAAAGTAGGCGAATACAGATTGAAATGTTTCAGAATGTGGTTTATTTTCAGGATAGTTTTAAGGCTTATTATAGGCTCATTTTTATTTGCCGTTTTTTTATAGCAATATCTGGCAACACAAAACAGTCAAGATATACCTCATTCCTTGTGGTTTCCTGTACTGTACATGCAAAAGGAAGAGAGACGACTCTGATGCACATTTAAAAACATCATTGACAACAACTTAAATATTTTTTTAAGTTTAAAGTGGTAATTGCTATATTGAATTTAGTTGTTGAATGCAGCGTCACTCCCTTAACGTCTACAACTACACCTACACCAACCCTAAAACAACTCTCACAGTGAAGTAAAAAGCAACAACAACATGTTATTGTGGTATTTTCTTGTGCTTTCAGGTGGAGAGGCATTAACTATACACAGATCTGTAGTTCACTGGGAAGTAATCAGTTTTGGGAGTAACGGATTACAAAAGTATGTGATTTCAGTAGTATATCTTTATTGCGCATTTCAATCTCAATAACACAAGTTATTTAGCCATACATTTAAAAAAATAAAAAATTGTACAAAAAAATTATAAGAGTATAAGGTATGCATGCAGGTAAAATAGCATGTGTGTTTACTATTGATGAAGTTTGAAGTATTACCATATTATAGAAATGTAATGTGTATTTATATAGCGCATTTATAGTGTATGGCTATACACCCAAATCGCATTCATAATCATGATGGAGGGTCTCTCCACACCACCACCAGTGTGCAGCATATACTTTGATGATGCGACGGCAGCCACAGGACAACGACAGCAGTATGCTCACCACAAACCAGCTATAGGTGTAGCGGAGAGACAGTATTAGAGCCAATATGGTGGATGGGGACAATTGGGAGGCTATGACGGTTAAAAGCGAATGGATGAAATTTGGCCGGGATACACGCCTACTCTTTACAAAAAGTGCCAAGGGATTTTTAATGACCACAGATAGTCAGGACCTCGGTTTAACGTCTCATACAAAAGACGGCGCTCACTGACAGTATAGTGTCCCCTTTACTATACTGGGGCATTAGGACTCGCACAGACTGCAGGGTGAGCCCCACCTTGCTGGCCTCTCTAACACCAATTCCAACTGCAACCTAGATTTGCCATGTGGTCTCTCCCATCCAGGTAGTAACCAGGCTCAACCCTGCTTAGCTGTAGTGAGTAACCGGGCTGCAGGGTGATAAGGCTGTGGAAAGCTAAATCCCTCATGAAATTAGCAACGGCAAGGTAGAATACAGTCAATATACACAGTATTATAGTTTAAGCCATGTCTGTGCTCTTATAGCAATAATGTTTCACAAAAAAAAATAATAATAATCAGAGTGTAGAAAGTTATGCTAAGCATAAAAAACATCTCCAACCTGCTGTTTGTCAGAATTGAATTAATTTATGTAACAAATATGTTTGCGCTTTTTAGACATAAATCTTTCACACACATGGGGAAAGTTAGTCTGTAGTCTGTAATTTTCTTTCAGGACTGGATATGCAATTACTGAGAACCAAATCTATTAATGATGCGCACAAATGAACTCATACCTAAACACTTCCTACTCTTTTAGCGATGCATATCCTGTAATGGGCATTGTATATACGGATACCATAACAACTAGACACCACCTTCCTTTTGGTGTCATAAAACCAAATGAAGATTGTATTTAGTGTTAAAAGTGGTTCAGCTAGTATTAATTTTAGGGAACATTTGTAATGTTCTATGGATTTTATATAACTTTAATATTTAAAACAAAAGCATATGATCACATATGGGATGATAACCGTTTTTTTAAGGTATACCGCATTTTTTAAAAGTCAAGGGTTTTAAAACCATCAAAATTTTCTACTATACTGTTTCTAAGGTATGTGTAAGATTTTTTATTTACATTTTTAAATAGTTTTTTAGGACAACAGTGTCTCCAGCTGAAAAAAAAATATCTAAAGATGCATTTTAAATTAAAGATCTGTGTTTTTGAAACAAACCAAGACAGCAAAAGTCAATGATTCATTTTCTTTTTTCTTTTTCTTTTTTTTTGCTTGACCTATTTACTGCAAAAAAATATTTTAAATGATTATCAAAATAAAATATATTGTGTTCAGGGGGGGGGTCTATTTTCTAATAATAATATATTTTAGAGCAGGAATCATGATACCGTGAAACCATGATATTTCTATCCAAGGTTATCATATCGTCAGAATGTTTTACCGGCCCATGACTAGATCAGACCTCTGAATAATTACAATTAATGTGTAAATAAATGCTTGGAAATGTAGTCATACATCAGTGGTTATTTTGGTGAAAAAGTAACAAAGTTAATATAAAAGTATTATAAAGCATGACATAGAAATTCATATTGTATGTTACTAATTACATTCAAATAGTAATATATAATGTTTTACATTTTGGAAGTTACTTGCCCAACTCTGGTTGTAACCCAATACTGAGTTAAATATAGACTAACCCAAATTGTCGGATTAAAAAATATCATTTAAATTTAATAATAACTAATTTTGGGTTTGTCAATACTTGACCCAACACTGGTTTAAAACAACCCATTGCCCCAAACAGCACTAAGGAACAACGTTACAATATCCGATTTCAGACTTTAGTCACAGAAAGAGTGTTTCATAAACTGAGATGAGCAGGAAAACGATATTAGGAATGTCTCTTACAGCAAAAAAACGTGGTACATTGGTGGGAGGTACTGCACATCTGCAGAAGTGAGGGCAGGGTAGCATGACGAGGCAGTCATCTGACACAAACATTAAAGCCAGAGGCAGCAGTTGAACTACGCGTGCAGGTCTATACAAAGCTCTGCATTCAAAACACACACACACACACACACACACACACACACACACACACACACACACACACACACACACTCACACACTCACACACGCACACGCACACACACACAAACACACACATGCGCACGCACACACACGCACGCACGCACACACACATCACACACACACACACAAACACACACACACACACACGCACGCACGCACACAACACCTTCAGTGGGAGTGGAAAGGTGTTTTGCTTTGTAAAAATGAACAAACACACCTACTTTTCCTGTCAATTGTTATTAACATAACTGCTTTTTCAACCACACCTTGCACACAATCCATCACACAGTGTTATTTTACCCCAGAAATGGTTTACTTCTGGGCAGTACGGAAGGAATGCAAGGAATTACAGCACTTCATTTTAGATGTAATGAAAGCATGAATTGAGGGTCAAATTATTATGGGAATTATTAAATATGTATCAAATTATTAACTGAAAATACATTCCTTGATGTCTGTTTGTGCACTATGTTCGACATACATATTTGCTTGACATAACACATACAAAATTTGGATTATAATAAAAACTAATAAAAGAATTAATATATATTTATATATACATTTCATTTGATTTAGAATGTAGGCATTAAACTGACTGAAAGGCAACAAAAGGCATTTATTATTTTACTAAACATTTTCAGTTATTTTAAGCTTTCTCTTGTTCAAAAACATAAATCCTCTAATAAAAATATTTAGGTTCCCACAAAACTACTGAGCAACTGTTTTTAGCATTAATATAAAGCTTCCAAGGGGTCATGTGACACTGAAGACATGAGTAATGGCTGCTAAAAGTTATTTTAAATGAACTTGCAATAATATTTCTATTACACAACTGCTTTCTTAGTGAGCAAACAGCACTTCTTTTAAAAACATTAAATAATCTAACCCCAACCTTGGTGCAAGTGACAGATGTATGTGTTGGAGGGTAAGATCAGTTTCTCATAAGCTGACACATGGTGTACATATTAAAATACACAACAGAAATGTATATCAAGCTTCTTGAATTTTTGTCTATTTTGGAGCATGAAAGTCTGTGGTCACTTTATAAAATATAAGAAGCTTCTCAAACTAACCATTCTAAACCAGAGACCACCTATAGAGCCTCATGTGGTTTGTGCAAAATTTCAGATAATAGGTCAAAGAAACACGATCTGTCTGTCCTCAGGGGAAGAGAAGCATCTGAGAGGTCACACGGCTGTTTCGGATATTGCTGTTGTAGGTTGAGGTGGAGCTGCAGGTGTGTCCATTCACAAATTTCATTGAGGGTCTTCTGGAAATCATAAATGACACAACCTGAAGCTAGAAAATCGAGATGACGGGGGTACATGCTTAAGTGAACCTATGCACAAGACCTTATTCCTTACAAACTACAGGCCA